TCAGTGTCATTGTCAAATTGGCGATCATCTGAGGTCTAACTTTACTATTACCGAGGTTGGCAGCTTTATGACGCCAGTCGGTCAGAATCTGGTGGACTATGACAAGTTGATAGCAGAAGCAAAGGTGCTTAAATTAATTATTGAATAAAATCTGTATATATATATATTATATATATATCTAATATATATATTGTCTATTTATCATCCTCATTGTACATACACATATATCAGTTTTATACAATTAAATTCCTTTTTTTTGTTATTTAAACTATTTACATAGTTGGTTACTCTATGTACGACTGTGTGTGAGTGATGTTCTTGTCAGGGTGAACCAAGGGACCTTAATTGTGTACAGCTAGTTAACACAAATAATTCCTAAACCTGACACCATCCATGGTTCCATAACAATGAACAGTGTAAATGATCATGATCTATATACAATTTCTCAATAACCAGGACTGCTCCACAGTGTTATATAGGTCTGGACGTGATTGTTCACTTGCTTGTTATTGTACGTTCAAGCATAATCCGAATAAAGAAGCTCGATATGCTCAAAGATATTGACAATGAAACTTTTTCAACGTTCCATACACTTTCATAAAAATTATCACGTTTGTAATTTGGAGAAATGTGCATCCACAATCATCTGATATACACGGTTTCAGAGTTGCCTACACATTTATCCAACAAATGAAGCAACTCAGCGCTGAATATTTTTCTTGAGTTTAATACAAAGTAAATAATCCAAAGTAAAAGTCATTTATACAATGACTTGAAAAAAAACATAGCAAGGCAGTGTTTTTCACATTCCCGGGAAGCGACTCCCTAGATAACAAAATTTTCGTTCGAGCCCCCTATAGAAGCTGAAGCCAAGAAGAGCAATGTAGGCCTCCACAATGAGGTCCGTGAGGTTTTTTTTTAAAGAATGTAATAAAAAAGAAAAGAAACTTAGTCACAACTTTTAGGTTTTATTTTCATTTACATTAATTTAACACTGTGTAAAGATTCCAAAGCTACGTCACGAAAGTGCATTAAAACTTTGTTGTTTTTTCGGAAATTGCATTGTCTACATAATTTTTAAGTATTAAAAAGTTCTTCCTTGAGATAGAATTTAAGATGCGGTAGTTTTCCGTTCAAGTCGGCAAGGGGTCTGAACATTATTTTTGCCGCCCCCCGCACCCTGTTGTTTGTCAATTGTTGGCTTGTAGCTCCAGACAGCTAGTATAACTAAACCGATGAAGGCGGTATATATATATTTTTTAAATAAATAAACTTTAAATAACATGAACAAACTTCTTTGTGGACAAAAACTCAATAGGGCCTATAACTGTTATTATTCACGATTTAATTTGAGATGAGATATAGATCTAATAGTAATGAAATAAACTGATATTTAAACAAAATCTAGCTCATAACAACAATAAAGTCTTTACTCGTCGATGTCTTCAGATCGTCTCACTTTTGCAGTACGTTAATTTCATCATTGTCACTGCATAACCATCGATCAATCGCTTAATTCAAGGCTAGAAATGAGTAGGCGCTTAAGGAAAAACCCGTGGGAATCCATCACACGCTGCTCTATTTTTTGTTCTAGTTTCCAAAATAATTTCTTATGTACGAATATCATTTTATTTTCAAAGGATAATGTAATAATTAAAATTTATTTAAAATATTGAAGTATTTTTTTTATTTAATTTTTTTTTTTTTAAAGTAACCTTGGAATAATGATTTGGCCGCCCCCTAAAGTCGGCCGCCTGCGTGCAATGTACACATTGCACAGTAGGTAGCGGCGGCCCTGCTCATTATCTATATCTACTAGATCTAGATCTAAAATATATATTTGGGATAATGTAGATGTAATTTAGATAAGATTTATGTAAAAAAAACACTAGATAATTAATTAATAGACTAATTGCAATATTGAATTTTAAAATAGTAGATTAGTTTTAGTATTTTATAACATTGCACCCATTAAACCACTGTTACATAAGATCTGAAAGAAGTGGACGTCCCCTTTCCATTAGAACTAAAACAGAAAGATTTAAAAACTTCTTTATCTCACTTTCTTTCAGAGTGTTACAAGATCAGCTGTCGTCATCGAGAAGTAGGCCTACATAGAAGTCATATTCATGAAACGCTGGTTGTGAATGTGTATGTGTTTCGTGTGTGAATGTTGTTCGAATTCTTAATCAATATTATTTTTGTACAGTAGTTTCGCTGAGCTTGTCAATTGTAGTCAAACTGAATTTCCATTAGATCGGATCAATAAAAATTATCTTATCTATTGACATATTAACAATCTAGACTTTAGAAATAAAAAATCTCTAAATTAAAGTTATAGATCTTGATCTTGTCTAAATCATGGCTGTCTGGTAGTGCAGTTTGCGCGACGGACTGTCGTTTGGATTCATCGATGGTCCCAGGTTCAAACCCTGCCCACTCCCATCCCCCGTAGTCCTACGGGAGGTTTGGATTACAACTCTGAAGGAACATCCGAAACATGTAAAACAACAAACACTCTAAACTAGACCAAGAAATTCTAGATCTAGATTCTACAATGATTTTAATTAGAACTTAAATCTAAACCTAGTTTAAAAAATCTAGCTCTAGTGTAAAAAAAAATAATCTAGATCTAGTGTAAAAAATCTAGATTAGATCTAAATCTAGCTATTATGTCTTTTTAAAATGCGAGTCACATTACGAGGTTTAATAAACATTACTATACCGAGTTGCTTTAGCATTTCATTTAAAGATTTAACTACATATGACGTTAAAGGAAAAAAATTCCATTACGTCACACGTCCTAGTTAGACTAAAAAATGTCTTCTATACGAGCAGCTTCTCGACGGTTCATAGACATTGGTGCACCGAGTGAGTTCTTTTAGCATTTCATTTGATGGGCTAGTTAGACTAAATATGTGTGTGTGTATATATATATATATATATATATATATATATATTTATATATTTATAGTGAGAGAAAATAAGAAATCCAGATTAATCAAATACCGTTAATTAAATTTGTGGGATGGTCTGTTATGAAAATTAGATGTACCATAGCCTTATGGAGAGATTTTCAAACCATACTTTGGTGTTAGGCCCAGGAGACAAAGACATATTACTTGAACTAAGTAGACAACATAGAAGATATAGTAGTACAAGAAAATGGAATTCAAAAACTATTAGCCAACAGTTCAAAATACTCTTTCAGGCTTCACTTAACCAGGGCAGAGTACCTGGAAAGAAGCTAATGTCACCTCCCTATTTAAAAAAGGAGAAAAATCTGACCCAGGAAACTACAGACCAGTATCACTTACCAGCATCACATGTAAAATCCTAGAACACATAATATGTAGCAATATCATAAACCACTTAGACAAACAAAATGTCCTCACACCATACCAACATGGCTTTAGGAAATATAAATCATGTGAAACACAACTAATAGGACTAATTGATGATTTTTCTAAAGGTTTAGATAATAGTGAACAAATAGATGCTATCTTACTAGATTTTTCTAAGGCTTTTGACAAAGTTCACCACCATAGTTTGCTTAAAAAATTAAAATATTTTGGCATTAATGGTCCACTGCATCAGTGGATATAAGATTTTCTGATAGGGAGAGAACAAACTGTAATAATAAAATGGCTCTAAATCAACACCGATAACAGTAAACTCAGGTGTACCTCAAGGAACAGTCTTGGGTCCACTACTATTTTTAATTTACATAAATGATTTATCAAATTTCATTACTTCAGGAACAAAAGTCAGATTATTTGCAGACGATTGCATAATATATAGAACAATAAAAACAACACAAGACACATATATTTTACAATGAGAATTAGATGAATTATAGAAATGGGAATCAAATTGGAGCATGTCTTTCCACCCAGAAAAATGTCAGTTGTTAAGAGTAACAAAAAAACTAAAACAAATTAATTCCACTTATCTTATTCATGGCAAACCAGTAACACAGACTAAAAACGCAAAATACCTAGGTGTTATAATAAATGAAAAACTGTCATGGAATCCACATATTGATGAAACTATAAAAAAATCAAACAAAGCATTAGGATTTATTATAAGAAATTTCTATAAATCAAATAAGAACATAAAACTAAAATGTTATTTAACCTTGGTTAGGCCAATAATAGAATATGCATCCTCCGTTTGGGACCCCTCAACTCAAGAAAACATTAAGAAACTGGAACAGTCACAAAATAGAGCAGTTAGATTCATAACAAATGAATATTCACATTTGACTAGAGTAACACCTATAGTAAAATCACTAAATTTAGAAAGCCTTCAGGACAGAAGACTCAAAAGTAAAGTAGCAATTATACATAAAACACTGAACCATGATCTTCAAATACAAAAACAAAATTTAATAAAATACTCTGAAAGACACAAAGATAAAGGCACATTCCTGGTCCCATATGCTAGGACAAATTTGTACAAATACTCCTTCTTCCCTAGTGCTATTAGAGCATGGAATGGGTTGCCTGAGCTAGCCAGGAAAACCAGTGACTTGGCAGAATTTAAGTCATTGGTTAATATTGCATGATTAAATGCATGACGCGTAGGACGTAATCATCTTCTTTTTTGAAGTAACGTCTGTTTTATTTAAGATAAGAAGATAAGGAAGTTGTTTTCCTTAAAAATCGGAATATAATATAAACGATAATTAGATTTTCTAACGTTTTAGCTAGAAAGTTAAATGTAGTGTAAGAGAGAAGTGCGATTTTACATAAATAGAGTTAAAATATTTTTCATATAAAATCCGGAACAACCAATTTTCGTAAATGAGAAATTGGTGGTTTGGGTGTGTAATTTTTTAAATGACATACAATGTTTTTCATTATAATTTCTCCCACTTCTCTTTCTCAAATCTGGAGTTGAAACTTAGCACAAGTCTTCCATCTCCCTAAATATGCCGGAAGAATCGTCATAATGATGTTCAGGAAATCTAGATAATAAACATCAAGAACAAAAACTAGTTGACACTATTTGAACAAATTAATGCATTTTATTTCAACAGTATACCTGAAATATAAATGTATTGAAATACCCGAGCAACAATAAATCCTTGTACAATGTAAAGATATTGTACTCAATAATTGTCTCCCCTCTATTTGTCTAGCTCAGAAAACTCACGACATTATGCTTTCTTATTGCAACACCATTACAATTGGAACAAAATGTTCTCTTCAATCAATTCAAAGTGAAACATTGTTCATGAACACAAATAGAATCAAAAGTCATGGCATTAAAATAAAACACTCCAGTAGAAACAAACTAGAGACATAATGTACTATTTCAAAATAGGGGACAAATAAACCTACTTTTGAAACACTCTGAGAACAGGTTTCACTAGAATTGAATTTGTAGGAGAAACATTTATTGATCTCTGAATTGCATTCAAACTAAGATTAATATATTGAAATTAAAATTTGATTGTAGACATAAATGAAATCATCATCTAAGTTTGTCATGAGCAGATGAGAGTCTTAATCCTAAATGGCAGATGAGAGTCTTAATCCTAAATGGCAGATGAGAGTCTTAATCCTAAATGGCAGATGAGAGTCTTAATCCTAAATGGCAGATGTACTACCTAGGTCAGTGTGTAGTGTGAATGTAGAATGGTCAGAATGGTGTTGAAGAAGAAAGATGTTAGAAAACACAGGGAGTAATGACATTGAGGCTATTAATGACATTGAGGGCTATTAATGACATTGAGGGCTATTAATGACATTGAGGGCTATTAATGACATTGAGGGCTATTAATGACATTGAGGCTATTAATGACATTGAGGGCTATTAATGACATTGAGGCTATTAATGACATTTAGGCTATTAATGACATTGAGGCTATTAATGACATTGAGGCTATTAATGACATTTAGGCTATTAATGACATTTAGGCTATTAATGACATTGAGGCTATTAATGACATTGAGGCTATTAATGACATTGAGGCTATTAATGACATTGAGGGCTATTAATGACATTGAGGGCTATTAATGACATTGAGGCTATTAATGACATTGAGGCTATTAATGACATTGAGGGCTATTAATGACATTGAGGCTATTAATGACATTGAGGGCTATTAATGACATTGAGGCTATTAATGACATTGAGGGCTATTAATGACATTGAGCCTATTAATGACATTGAGGGCTATTAATGACATTGAAGCTATTAATGACATTTTATTATTATTCGTTGAATCAAATTAAAAGTTCTTGTAAATTATTATTTGGGGGCGAGGTGGTGGAATGGTTAAGCGCTTGGCTTTGAACCTGAGGTCTTAAGTTCGAATCTCTGTGAAGATTGGAATTTTGAATTTCAGGATTTTTAGGGCGCCCCTGAGTATGCCCAACTCTAATGGGTACCTGACTTTAGTTAGGGAAGTAAAGGTGGTTGGTCACTGTGCTGGCCACAACATCCTGCTCATTAACCATGGGCCATAGAAAAAGATGACCTTAACAACATCTGCCCCATAGATCGAAAGGCCTGAAATTTTATTATTATTATTATTTATTATTTATGGTTCTGTTTTGGTTTAGGATTAAGAGTCTCATCTGCTCGTAACAATTTCCTTCCTGAGGAGTTAAATGAATGGTCCTGAACACAAAGGTGAAATCTGTAGCTTGTCATCAAATGAAGGCCAGTCCAGATACTCTCGGCAGCACTGCCATAAACACATAGTAGATCAAGAAGATGATTATTGCATTGACCAGATAGAAAAAAAACATGGACTGCTGATGACCCTTGACTCGGCCTAACTTTCTGTAATAGGCCACCACACCAGTGAGGTCATTTTGAATTGTAGGGATGTAACCAAGTTCCTGAGTCGCTTTCTGTATACTGAAGTAGTGAGTGGTCCCTGTCTTGTAGACCTGCACATGAGACAGACGTGTTGGAGATAGGAATAAGAGATGGATACAAATGCATTGAAAAACTTTAGTTGGTATCTTTATTTTCACTTGGACTACTAGCTAACAAACTAATAACCTCTGACCTCTGTTCTTGTCAACATTGGTTGGAAATTATAGACAGGGCTGATGACAGCATGGAGTATTTCTGTCAGCCAGGCTGAATCAAGACAAGATATTGCTACAGTCATAAAATAATGCAAGATATCTGCTACAGTGAAATAATAATGCAAAATATTTGCTACTATGAAATGTGCTACATTGTAATTCTATTTAATTATTTCTTCCATGCTGTAGAAGCTTGCATTCAAATACAGAACAATACAAACTGAATAGAAAGATTGTCATTGCAATGGTAAAAGGTTTGTAGACCCAGGGCTGGATCTAAGGGAGGGGCAGCTCTACCAGAAATTAGAAAAATCTATCCAAATTTCAATGGGTAAGAAACTTTGAAAAAAAAAATTTCTAACATTTTTTTTCACATTTTTACGGCTGACAAAAATGTTGAGATTTAGAAGTGTACACTTGTAGCATCCTCGGGATAAGTAAATACAGCAGTGCATCTACCAAGGGCCTTATCCTCCACAACCTAAAAAATGTACACTTTTTAAAACTACAATATGCATTTTAAATATGTTTTAAAAGAAGAAGAAAGATTAAATTTATAAGAACTCTATCTTATAAATATTTTCATTTATTCATTTAATCCTTAAAGCTTTCAAAACATTGTAAGTGCCTCCACAAAAATCCTGCCCTGGGCCATGACTTGACCTAACTAGGCCTGACTAGAGTCAGCAATTTAAGGTTCATTGACCTTGAAGTGGCCTAACAATGTGATCAAATAATATAAAAACTCAAAACTAGGAAAGTCGCTGTTTTAAATCCTGACACAAAGAAGAAAGAAATTTTCTGAACTTACCAAAGTAGAAAACAATTGTCATAGGAACTTTCACTTTGGGGTAGGAATAACCCAATCCTTCAAACTGAAACAGAAAGTAGAACAACAATAGTGGAATAAGGTAAAAACCCCCCACTAAAATAGAGATAATTGGACAAGAATATTGGAGTATTGTATACAAGCTGGAGAATCTTAGATTTGTATATAACTTTTTTTTTTGTGGTAATTTTTGGGATTTGAGTTCAAGTGCAAAGCTTGTCCCTTCAGACATTCATTGGAACTTTTCCTATCTGGTAACCTTGATTTTAATTGCTTCTAAATTCTTAGTGAAATTGTGTATATATATACACACACACACACACAACTACATACCAGAGGACGAAAAAATTCAAAGTTGTTCACCGGACTGTTGTCACTTATAAAGTAAGCCTTGCCAGCCTGTAACCAAGGAAACAAAAATATCGTGTCAGTAGTTTTTTTCTGGTTGGCTGTGGTGTCTCTTCTTGTTCTAAAGGGGGCTAATAATAATCATTTTTTTACAATAATTTTAGTGCATTGCCTCCCTTAGAACAGTTCTTGAACATGTAGTGTTTACATCAATAAATTATAAGCGAATGGGCTAAAATAACAAAGAAACAAAGAGTTTCGCGCCCAAACACCAAAACAAACACACAAAGAATATTAACAAAAACAAGAAAAACATAAAGGAATACACATTACGAAATAAACAAAACTTATATTGAAGTGTATTTGTATCAATTACTTTAGATAGTCATGTGATAAAATTTGTGATAGATCTAGACTCACAATAATAAATCTGTGCAATTTGAAATGTTTTTACCAATTATATTGTTTTTGATTAGCGCAATTTCATGCTTTTAGCTTTCAAAGCCACTACGATCCTATATCACTGTCTGGACACCAGGGGGTGGGGTGTGGGAAAAGAAGGGAGGGGGGTATCTGAGTTAATTTTACCATCATTGCCTTTTAAATACATAAAAAAAAAAAACTAATTTACTCAGGGCTCAAGCCTTTTCTATACCACCACTTCTGTCAAGTACGATTTCTTTTCCTTGTTCGGATCCAAACAAAATAATGAATTATCTGTAGTTAGCTAACTAAGTGGTCATATTTTTAAAATTGATTCTTATTTAGTCAGGTACAAGAAATACATGTGCAAAATTTCCAACTTGATCCACGATTGGGTTTGGGAGAAATAATGTGTACAAACTTTTAACCAGACAGACAGACATATAGAGTGAGTTGATATAAGATTTGTAAAAAGTGAGTAGACGGTTTTCACAAACAAAAGACACTTAACGATGTCTGCCTGGTCATGCTGTATGCATGCTGGGCTATCGTCTCATTGATCCAGGGCTCAAACCCTGCCTGATGCCATCCCCTGTTGACTTGCCAGAGGTTGTGACAAGGAATTATCTTAAACTCTGAAGGAACAGTCAAAACATTTGTACAAACGATGACCATGAAGTGATACGAAGTTACACTAAAACTGATGTCTGTTTCCAAATGAGTTCTACATAAACATGAAATCAATTTTCAATTTTGTTTTGATGTGTTTATACTTTATACAGATATGCATGCACTATTTCTTTTTAATGGGCGTCATTTCGGAAGTCAACAAGCACACATGAAAATCTATTTCACATATTTAAAACATGTCAAATACAAAACCAAGGCTATACAGTAGTATAGTAGAAAGAAAATTAACCATTAAGTAATTAACCTATATATCTTTACCAAGACATATTGAAATTTGTAGACAAAAAAATATTCTAAAGCCACTAGAATTTTTTCTATTGCTACACAACAGAATTGTTTCTATTAGTACTTAAGAAATTGTTGAGACAGAAACAGATTTTCCTTAGAACTAAATATGACAGATGTAGGTCTAAAGTGAGGAAAATTTTTTTTTTAATCTGAAAAAAAATAGGCCTACATGACACACAAAATACAAATACACAACACAAAATACAAATACACAACACAAAATACAAATACACAACACAAAATACAAATACACAACACAAAATATACAACTACAACACAAATAAAGTCCTGCAGACTCAACACTTATTACAACTTAGAACAAGCTACAAAGAACATACAAAAACAAGCTAAATATGCCCTGTAGCTAGCTACATATAACTAGAACAAGCTACATATAACTAGAACAAGCTACATATAACTAGAACATACAAAAACAAGCTAGATATGCCCTGTAGCTAGCTACATATAACTAGAACAAGCTACATATAACTAGAACAAGCTACATATAACTAGAACAAGCTACATATAACTAGAACAAGCTACATATAACTAGAACAAGCTACATATAACTAGTACAAGCTACATATAACTAGAACAAGCTACATATAACTAGAACAAGCTACATATAACTAGAACAAGCTACATATAACTAGAACAAGCTACATATAACTAGAACAAGCTACATATAACTAGAACAAGCTACATATAACTAGAACAAGCTACATATAACCTACAGCAATATAATTCTTGTGTTCTCTCAAAGCCTCTGCTGCCAGTATATGTGCCTGGACAAGATTGTCTACATGGAGAAAGTCAACAAGTGAGGAGTCTGCACCATAGGTCACTTTGATCAGACCTTGTTCCAGGTAGGACTAGAAGAAACAAGATGACAACTGAAGTGTTAGTCAACAACAAAGTCGTGAAATAAACAACACAGTTGTGAAAT